TGAACAGATTAAGGGAACTCCAATGGGCTCACCGGTATCCGGTTTAGTGGCAAAACTGGTCCTACAGGAGTTAGAAAAAATTGCCTTCATGCAACATGAGCCGGCATTTGGCGCCCTTACGTAGACGACACGTTTGTTATGGTAAGGAAGGACATGCTACAACATTTCCACAACCTGCTCGCGCAATCTTTTCTGATAAAAAATTCATGAGGGAAGAAGAAAAGGGACAGCAGTTGCCCTTCCTGGATGTGCACGTCAGACAAAACCCCTAACGGTGAACTTGAAACGACGGTTTGTAGGAAGGCAACAAACACCACACGGCTTTTCAGTTCTCACAGCAACCACCCGATGGCTCACAAATAAAGCTGTGTGAAGACGCTCTTCAAACGGATCCAAACTCATTGCAGCAAACCGGAGGAAAAAGCACGTGAGGCCCGTTATCTCCTCGACCAGTTTGTGCAAAATGATAATCTGAGAGCATTCATAAATAGCTGCCTACGTGGTCGTTCCGAGACGACTCAAACATCAACACCAACGATATGGCATTCTCCGTCATACATCAAGGACGTTTCCAAAGCGACCGAGCGCGTTGCTGCGGTGCTAGGTGTTGGAATTGCACGCCGCCCAAAGCCACCATGCGCAACAGGGTCATGAAGATCAAAGACCGGTTAAATCCTGAAGAGAAATCTGGAGTGGTGTACCGCAACCCGTGTCAAAACTGTCCTTGTAACCACACAGGCCAGACTGGACGCATGCGCGGATCGCGCATACACGAACATAAGCTGGCTGCACGACGGGGCGACGCATTATCGTAAGTGGCCGCTCACACCTACGAAATGGGTCATGAGTTTAACTTGGCAGCCACCAAAATAGTCGCCCACGCCAGAAACAAAACAGGCCGAGAATTGACTGAAGCCTGGGCCTCGGACGAGAACTCAGTCAATTGATTTATCGATCTGGCGCCGGCCTACAGAACCCTGCGTAGTCACCTCCAGCCTTGAGCCGGCGGTCGATTATTGGCCTACGCGTCCTATAACTGTTGCTTGTTCTGTTGCTGCTACGAGCTCTGACGATGGACTCCTGCGCGAGTCCGAAAGCTCAGAACAATAAACAAAATGTTCCGGTGCTCGAAACCTCTTCTTCATCACTGGACTACTCTCTTGAAATCAGTTATCCAGTCTGGAGGGGAAGCATGGGATTTATCTGAGAATCAAGGATTCCTGCAGCTTCTCTGCATAAGTGGCATGGATGCGGACACCAAGTCAAGCAATGGAATACTTGGCAGAAATTTAGATAAAGGCAGCTACTGACAGGACAGCCGCCGGGCGGACAACCCTCAGTGGACAAAAACGAGGCCGCATAAGGGCTTACATTGAAACCGTAGGTGGAGTTGAGAACTAGAAAGAGGAAAGGGGGGATGAGGTGGAAAGCGCACTAAAAGTAATGAAGCGTGGCAAAACCAGCGAAAACAGGGGATGAAATAAGGATACATCTGATAGGATGTGGACAGTTGACGAAAATGACCATAAGGCATCAACAAGTCCACAAAAGCAAGTACTTTTTGCCCAGTTAAAAGCGACATCAAAGTTCTGATACATGCAGGTAGTAAGTTGTTGTGTGCTACTATGGTGATGACGGACAACCTAGACTGCATACATGAGGTGGATATTTTCTAACTTTGAACTGGACTATATAACCTTAGACCGCCTTCGCTCTCATAGAAAATCAAGACTTTTCTCAGACAATATACATGTAGGAGTCGACGCGACTGCTTCAGATAACTCGTTCCAGGGCTTGATACAACGTTGTGAGGAGCTGGACTGTGTGTTCCATATGCGCACTCGAGGCATTAGCAACTTTCTGGAATGCTCTCGAGGACTGGGCATATAATAAGGATGGTAATACGCTGCCGTTTTTGTTATAACGTGGACAACTGGACCATTTTATACCTCTCTTACGGACCTAAACTAGAAATATAGTGAAACAGCCTATTCGACCTGTTGTGAACTCTTCCCGAAGCCGTCATTTCCCGCAGGAGGCATGGCAATCGCGCTGACAAACTGTATTCGAAGGGTACCTGAGCAAGGGTTGTGTAATGCATCCTCAACAGAACGTTGTATGCATTGATCGATTGTAGTAGGCTGATGGATGATATAATTTCTAGGTTGACGGTTGATCGGTTTGTAGAACGGCTTCGTTGCCCGGTAATTTACGTAGTCTAACTCTGGATTATTTCCAAGGAACTGGGATCTTTGTGTCCATAATGCGATCGCATTGGTTATTCCACTCAGAATCTTGAAGCAAATCTTCCCGTATAGAAACAAGGTCGTCTGTTCGGTTAAAACTGCTAATGCCGTCTACAGACATTAGCAGGCTGCTTAAATGTATCTAGGAAGAGTTATCACTGTAGAATAAAATGAACAGTGGTCCTAGCACAGACCCTGATGGAACTCAGGTGCCTCTCAAACGCGCGCATGGACGGCTCTACGCTGTAGAAAACTCCCAGTCCACGCTATTGGCACTGCCGATTAGACCAAATCCGCGAAACTTCTCAACGAATCACTGGTGGTCACTAGTGTTGAAGGCCTTACTGAGGACTTGAAGCACATTCTTGGCTCCTTCTACACTGATTTGCTTTCTGCTCAGAATGTCGGCAGTAGCTCAGAATTTCGTGAGGCACAGTCTTTCTTTAGGGACGCCATGTTAACTGGCACTCGCAATTTTCTACCATTCGAGGAATTAGCAAAGATCATCACAGATGTCCTTCACTTTAATTTTGCAAACTTCATTGATGAGGATGACTGGGTTTTAGTTTGCAGCCAGAGGACTACCTCCCGCCAGTCTCTGGATAAGATGGCCGTTCTAAAACTGACGTCAAACGCACTACATTGGGGAATAGCTAATAACAAAGGTAGGGCTGGCTGTTCTCGGGACGTTATTAGTGTTCAAGCTCAGGAGAGGCCTCTCTCAGTGACCACTTTTTGTCATTTAAGAAACTGTTGTGGGGATGCAAACGGGTGTATACATTTGGCCGTTTGCATGGTAGGTCTGAGCAAATTGTTATGCAGGCGCGAAAATGATTCCCTTGTCATTCTCTGTGGACAGCTTTGCTTCAGCTTTGGCTGAATGAACCACATAGTTTCCCCTCGCACCTAATCCGACATCCCCCCCCCTCCCGACTCCGAGCGCAGGCTCTACTTCGCATCCTCGTGTACTTATGAAAGCTGGCCGGATAATTTTGCCTTCGATGCTGATACCATAGCTTGTTTGTGTTGGCAGTACGTTTCTGGACCTTCCGGGTATTTCGTGGACGGACGTTCTTGGACTGTTTAGCGATCTTATTGAGTACATGAAAAGCCAAGATAATCATGCACCACTTGATGAGAACCCATGCTGGTTCTGTACGTGGTGTCTCTTCCGAGTTTAAAACTGGCTACTGTAAACTGGAAACCATATTCCCTACAACTGCACTCTTAGTGCGCCGCATTGACTTTATGTACTTGTAATGACGGAGTTTATGCTGAAGATGACCACAATACTAAGGGATATAACAGCATGGTCGCTTTAACTAACGAAAGATATTCAACGAGTAACAAGACCGACATCAGGCCAAACCCCTGTCGCGCCTGTGAGCTCATCGTTCTCACTGACACCCGTAAGGCGAAAAAGTAAGATTACCTGAACGTGTTTTGTCGGAGTCGAATAAATGAGCGTTGTTTATTAATTAGCATCGACTTTAACATAAATAAATAGGTAGAAAGTTGTGAAACGCATGCCAACATGAACGACTGAAATGTTTGGTTAAAATATGGAATATGACAGTTCGACCGTAGCATTTGACGATGTCCACCGTATGCTCCACAACGAGGTGAAGCAGGCACGGTGACTGGCGCGTGATTTAGTTTGCAGTGAATCTGCTTTTGTCTCTGATGATGGGTTTGAGCAGGAATCCGAAACGTCAGGCTACTAAAGCTCCTGTCCCAGAGATCGTGTCTCCTTCTTCAAGACTGCTTCCTGTGACTCGTCTGTTCGCTTCTATTTGTAGTAAATGTAGACTTGGGCAACCTCTACCGCACTCTCTACCTCAGGCGGGGGGAGGGCGCAGGTGGATGGCACGGTCGAGCCCGAGCCTTGGGCCTCCGCACCACACCTCCTGGTCTACATAACAAACAACCAGGTTTTTGACCAACAACGCAGAGAATGGAGGCTGGCACGGCCGAAACCGCATTTAGGCGTGTCACCAACGCCCGGCTCGGATCCCACGGAGTGGGAGTGCCATAAAGGCCACATTAAGAAGGAGCCATTGCAGCCTGACTCTTAAGACCACCAGTCGGTCGCTCCACACAAACATACAACACTGAGCCGACTGCGAGGTCCAAGTCATCCTGTCAGTTGGTAACCTTCCAAGCCACGGCTTTTAGCACACTGTGATAGCTTCAAGCGCGTCAGATTGTTTATAGTGAGGAGGATGAGCTGGCTCTTCGATCTCACTCTTCCTTCCATTCCCAGGCCCCAGTCACTGTGGGTGACACATCTAATGACCTTGCCTGCGCGCGCCACAAGCATGACCTGCCCCCCCCCCCCAAGCACAGGCCCCGGGATTCCACACAACGGGAGTTGAGCGCATACATCTCACAAGCGGCGGGTGCCATAGGTCACTTTCAGGAACCGTTTTAGTCTGGCTCTCGGCCCAGCAGTCCACCACTCAAAACAGACACACATACAAATGGGCAGACAACGTGGCTGAGTTGGGGCGTCAGTCAGCGGCCTTCCAAGCCACAGCGCTTGACGAGCCATGATAGTCTCAGACTCGAATCGCACGTGCAGCATAGGGGCTGCATGGAGACGGAGCCGAGACGCACACTTTCCGCTTGCGTTGGAGGTGGCAATTGGATGCCTGTGGTTGGTGGTAATGTTCTGTGATGTAGGTGGGGGAAGATGTGATGGTGAGGTGTAGCCGGTGGTTGTCTACCGCAGGTTTTCGTGAATGCGCATGTGGCCTAATAGGCCCATGTGGTGGGTGAATATGCAAGCGGAGTGGGAGCAGTTGAGGCGGATGCGTCGGGTGTATTTTGGTGCTCCAGGCACAGGTTCGCCAGTCTCTGTGCGTTGGACCCCCAAGTGACCGGCCAGGCCGATGTGTGGAGTGAAGGTGTGGGAACAGTGTGGGCAGGATAGATCGGTGGTGTCAGGGTCGGTGAATCTGCCGGCGGTGGGAGCAGTGAGCTTCTGTGTGTGGGTCGGGCTAGGCGTGATAGACGCGCAGGATATGCTAGGTGTTCGAGGCTGCGATGAATTCCGCTCTCGTGGATGCGCCTGTGCCCTAGAAGACCCATGCGATGAGTGAACGTGCTGAGGCAGTGTGCACAATAGAGGCGAATGCGGCGAGTGTATGTGGGTGCTCCAGGTACTGGTTTGCCAGCCTCCGTGGGATGCATTCGCAAATGACCGACCAGGACGATGTGTGAGGTGAAGGTGCAATCGCAATAAAGACAGGTATGGATCGAGTCCATATCGGTGGTGGTGGCGGTGGTGAGGATGGTGTCTGCCGGTGTGTCAGGATTAAGTGCAGTGGCGGTGGGTGAAACAGTCGTCGCAGCGGAGGAGGATGACATTGTTGACTGTAGGTGTGGAGGACGAGGCAGATGTGGACGGCGAAACATCGGATAGGGTCGTCCGGGTGCAGAAGTTGATACGAAGGTGTCCAGTGAGACCATTTGGTGCCCGGAACGCCCGTTGGTATCGTGGGCAGGTCGGAAGCGGCTGAGTGTTGGCTGTAAGAGGCGGGAGCAGTAGAGATTTACGAGTTTCGCGTTTGGATTTGGCGGCGGTGATGCGGCTGACTTCGTAGACACCTGCGCCAGTCTTCGCTGCACTCCGCCAGATCGGTCGGCCCCGGGCGAGGTCTTCTTAGTTGGAAAGTATTCAGGATATCCTTGTAGGGACAGAATTGAACCCTTTGTCGGCGGGAACCCGTGACGACATCTCCATCGAAGAGTTGTTTGGGTAACCGCTCGTTTTACATGAGCACCGGATGACCACTCCAGAGCTCGTGCAGTTGTCTCGGCATAGCGTAGATGCTGAGGATTCCCGACCGTTCCGGAACATCCGTATCCTTGATCCGGTCCTGCCACCTCAGTTTCAGTATCCGACGGAGACAGCTGAGGTGGAGGTGGTTGAGTCTCCCCGCCTTTTCGTGTACACTGTCCAGGTCTCCTCTTTATGCAGCAGCATCGGCAGGAGGACCGCCTTGTAATTTTCAGTTTAGTGTTGAGGCAGAGACCGTGGCGATTCCAAACTGTGTTTTGAAGACGACCGAAGACTTGACTGGCCTTGGAAATCCGGCGGGTCACTTCATTGTCGACTTGGTGCTGCGGGAGAGGGTGCTGCCCAGATACGTGAAGTTGTCCACCACTTGCAGTTGAGCGCTGTTCACGTTGATTTGGGATACGGTGTAGGCAGCGGGGGTGGTGGTTGGTGCATGACCATTGCCTTCTCTGCGTTAATGATCAGGCCAAAGTTCACGCAGGCGGCGACGAAGAGATACATGCTCCTTTGCATTTCCCCTCCCGATGTGGTGTTGAGGGCGCAGTCGTCGGCGGAGAGAAGTTCATCGACGGTAGTTAAGGATACACGCGACTGGAAGTGCGTCCGCCTGTGGTTTAGGAGTTGACCGCCCGTCCTGTAGCCGACGCGGATCCCAGGGCGTTCATCCCGGTAGGCGTCCATCAGCATGGCAGATAACATAAGACTGAAGAGGGTAGGCGCGAGGACGCAGCCCTGCTTTACCCCGTTGGTCACTGCGAATGCCTCTGAGACAGCTCCATGGTCCGTGACGCACGCCGTCATGCCATCTTGAAGCTGACGCATCATCTGAGTAAATGGCTAAGAACAGTCAAATTTATTCTTGATTTGCCAGAGCCCTTTGCGATTCACTGAGTCGAAGGCTCTCATAAGATCCACGAAGGTAGAGTAGAGGTGGGTCCCCATCTTCTAACACTTCTCCTGAAGTTGGCGGGCGGCGAAGATCATGTCGGTGGTTTCACAATGACAGCGGAAGCCGCACTGGTTTTCTGACAGGAGACCCTGTTCCAGATGGTTGTTCAGGCGGCTGAGGAGAATGCGAGCGAAGAACTTCCCGACGATGTTCAGCAAGGAGAGGCCTCGGTGGTTGTCGCAGAGCTGGCGGTTATCTTTCCGCTTGTGAGGTGCACGATTGAGGCGGCCTTGAAATCCTGCAGGACTTCTCCCTGACGCCACATCTCCTGGAAGAGCGCCGTCAGATGATCCATGAGTCGGGGGCCACCGTTCTTGTAGACCTTGGCAGGGATCGCGTCCAATCCGGGCGCTTTCCCTCTGGAGAGCTGTTGCACGGACCTGATGGTTTCGCGGAAAGTGGGCGGGAGGTCGAGGTCGGCGTTGGTCTCCACTTGAGGCAGACAAGCAATGGCGGCGTCGGAGATGGGGGAGGGACGGCTGAGGATGCCTCTGAAGTGTTCTGTCCGTCACTGTAGAATTTGTGTCTTCTCAGTGAGTAGGGTAGTTCTGTCGGCGCTGAGAAGAGGAGCGGTGCCTTTAACTGTGGGACCGTAGACAGCCTTGACCGCGGAGAAGAAAATTTTCCATTAATTGCGGGCCGCGTGACCTTGGATCTCCTCGGCCATGCAAGCGGTCCAGCTGTCCTGCATCTCGCGCAGCGACTGTTGCACAAGGCGGCGACAACGGTAGAAGGCTGCTTTGTTGTCGTCGGTGGGGCGGTCGACTTAGGCTGTGTGCAGGAGGTTTTTCTCGGCGAGCAGGTTGCTAATGGCGGCGTCGTTGTCATCGAACCAGTCCTGGTGTTGGCGACGTGCGCGACCGAGGACAGCCAGGACCGTCGATTAGACTGTGTCCTGCAGTGGACACCATCGGTTCCCCGCGGAGGCGGTCACGTCAGCGGCCGCGGCGGCAACGCCTGGAAGGTTGGCCAGCCGTTCGGCTAGCTCGTTGCTGAAATGGAGATGGTGAGCAGGCATCGACTATGAAGCAGTGTTCAACTTACCTGAGGGTCGCTTACCTTGGGGTCTCCTGCGAGGCTGTAGGCGAATCCTCATTTTGGAGATGACGAGGCGATACCCGGTTTACCCGTCGGCATCCGGGATCGCCTTTGTCACCAGCACGTCCTGCTGGTCTCGCCTCCGGACGAGAACATAGTTCAGCAGGTGCCAATGACGCGACCGAGGGTGCATCCAAGTGGCCTTCTCTCGCAACGGGAGGCGGACGTAGGTGTTGGTCAGGTTGAGCCAGTGTTCTGTGCAGGTTCTTAGGGGGAGCATGCCACTGTCATTGGAGTTATTGAGACCATGGGGGCCCAGCGCTCCTCTCCAGGCAGCATGGTCCGTGCCGACGCGAGCGTTGAATTCGCCAAGGACAATCAACTTATCCGCCTTCCGCACAGTCGCCAGGAGTCCGTGCAGTTCCCCGTAGAATTTGCCCCTTGCAACGTCAGTCCTGGTCATCGGGGGGGGGGGAGGGGGAAGGGGGGCATAGACGCTGACGATGGTGGCGATCTTGTCTCCCGGAGAGGTAGACGAGGCTCATCAGGTGATCGTTGATGCCCTGCGGCAGACAGAGCAGTCGTCCCACGATGTAATTCCGGATAGCAAAGGCGACGCCCGCGTCCCGTCGCTTTGCCCTGAGACGACCGCTCCAAAAGAAGGTGTAGTCGGCACCAACCGCCTCCAGTTGACCTTGTTCGGAGAAGCGGGTCCCACCGAATGCAGCGATGTCCACCTTGTAGCGTGCCAGTTCCCGAGCCACTAGCGCCGTCCTCCGTTTCGGTCGATTGCTCCTCGGATTATTTAAACGGGAAACGAACATTCCAGGCTACCAGAGTGAGCGGACCTACCCTAACAGCCTGTGCGGTGGGGCGGCGGGAAAGAGTAGAGGGAATAGAGAGAGAGTATTGTTTCGTTTTTGATTGTTTCGACCGTGTATTTTGCATTTGCGAGCCACGGTCAGTGCGCAGAGAACATGATCTCAGCATTGGTTTAGGGCAGCTTTTCCAGCCGGCTGGCTGTTGAAATATAAACGGTGAGCAAACAAATTCAACAGAACGATATTTATCTTACAACAAGGGCAAGCACAAAAAGGCAGCCAGAGGCAGGCAAGCAAGAACATGCAGAAAGCAAAGACAACAAGGTAAAATTCGGCCTATCTGATGGGCCACTTACCTTGTGGTCTCCTGCAGGTTTGCAGACGAAGTCTCATCTCGGAGATGTCGAGGCGGTGACCTGTCCGGCCACCGATGGTGGTAGTAGAGCACAGTTACCGCGTGTAGAGATGCAAACGCGGATACCCTCACCTGCTTTATCTCGCTAATCGAGGCGGTTACTGGGGTGTTGCCGCTAGGCAGATGTTAGCTTCGGCGAGCCACGTGTGAGAGTTGGGTGCCAGTAAATGGACAGTAGATGTAGTCTACACCTACAAGCAAGATATGAAATATGACAGAGCAGTCATCACAGATCTGCACCAGCAATGGCTACCTACCTTTCGGATGGAAAGAACGTTTAATCGAAACGGAATGAAGACTGATTTGCACGAAAACGTGTGGGGAACTTTATATCCTGATTCGGATAATTCTCATGAGAACTTATTATCAGATTGGGGTCAAAAGCATTCTCATTACCGGTCGCAGATTATGAAGTCGCTCGGCTAATCAACAGTGGACTGAACTCCCAACTAATCATGCTTCCTTATCTGCATGATTACAGTATGTCAGAGAGTTGAACGTCCTCGGTAACTTACGTGTCTGGACTGTGGTGAGCAAGTAGGAGATGGAAATGGACGACTGCAAATATGGGGACACGGATGACTACCATGTCTCTGCCTGAGAGACCAACTGGACTGCGATGTAAATGGGGGCTACTGTAAAGGATACAACCTGCCTCAGAACAGTCGAACTAACTGTCTTTCCTGAAGGTGCATCAATGGTGTAGAGCCACTTCTGAGACGGATAATACTGGAGTCGTTCAGGTTTCTATGCTACTCAAGCTATAGGTTCTTATGCGCTAGAAACTATCTTAGTTCTCCAAACTTATGGATAAGATTGCATGTTTTAATAGACATGCAAAAGAGCTGATCTTGTCCAGTCACCGGCTCAGAGCGAGCAGTTTTACCGGGAAGAGGATCAAATTTGACCAGGGCTGAGTGGATAATCTGCCGTTAAAGACTCATTTTGAGCACATTACTGTACTTTCGAGTACCCCTGACCATTCAGAAGGAGAGATTCCCATTTTGGAAGGCGGCCCTAGAACATGGGTACCTTTGTGACCTGTGTTTTTCCATTAAGTCCAGTTACTGGTGGCCGGTTAACCTTAGGCACCGAGGTTTTTTATGTTTACCCATGCGGTGGATCCACCCTATGAACCTAGTATCACCCACTTTGCTGAGAAGTCTTTTGGCAGTTACCCTGTACTTTTCAATCGAGAAAGTTTTACAGTTAATAATTTTAGTAAATTTAAGAGAAGCACATTTAGTATACTAAATCCGTCCCTCTTGTCCGTGCAACACTTGATTAGCCGGGCTAGTGGTCTACGCTGGCATCCAGTTTTGAACCTGGTGATGAAGTTTTGCGCCTGTCCATTTTATTGCATATGAACGCACTTCCTCTGCTTCACGGGTCTTCAGTAGATACTACTACTGACTGCGAGCGCCCCCTCGAAGTTGATCGACCACTTTTTCCACTGCGTTAACTCCAACTGCACTGAAAGTTCAGTTAACTGCAGGTGCCAGTCTACTTGGCGCGACGACAGCTACTGGCTTACCCGCCCCGTTACCCGTTGAATTCCTGCGTCATATGCGACTTAACCCTCGGCTTCGCGACGCCGATCGATATTTTTCTCTCCAATGATTGGCCGCAGCTGCACATGGCTCAGGTGCACGCACACACCTCGCGCTCACACGAAAACTATGACTGGGTCTGGGGCGACAACTTCGGCCACCGACGTTTGAGCTGCCCCTACGCCCCCTGAAATGGTACAGATTGTCCTACTAATTTTGCTTTCGTGAGTTTTGATCTGACCCGTGTATGAGAGTCAGCGACCTCCCTGGTTTGTTTACTCACGTTGTCAAGCTCTTAAAATACGACTTTCAGACAAGTTTTGCTGGTACCTGTGCTGTCAGTATGTTAAATTAGTCGGTACTTTTATACTACCGACTGTGTTGGAAGCTTGTGAATATTACGTAGTCATCCTACGGTAGCTGATGGATTTTAGCTCAAATATTCATATTAGCTTTGGAGCGAGCTTAAAAAGCTTTGTTCCGAAGGCTTTACTCCAAGTTTGCACATTGATTTCCAAGGAAATTAAAAAGGGGTGAACACACTTATAAAACTAATGAATTGTTTTAAAAACAATCGTAGCTGCAGGTGCTTCGCAAGATTTTGGGCGAAGGACCGAAAGGAAACTATTTCATGGCAAATAACTTAGCAGAAGCCATCCTAGCCAGAACTTTGTTCGATGAATGTGCTTCGTCGTGTATATTGATTGGTTCGAACGGCAGGTTTTATAGTTATTCGGAAGCATAAAAAACACACGCTGTACAGTTTTTCAGAATGTTGCTAAACAAAGCCATTAAGGTGAGAACTGCCCAGGTTAAAGCGCGTAACATCAGTATGGCGATTGAATACCAAACAGGACCCAAAGGGTCAAAACATACCGATTGTTGAAGCATCCTCTTATCAGAAGAAAGTTGAATAAGATCATAGTAATAACATCACAGTTTATGACCTCACTTTGCAGTAGGCTGGGCGGGTGACTTGACCCAAATGTGATTAAACCCACGACTCCCAACGGGGCTTCGTAGCTCAGGTGATTAGACGATTGACTGTACTCAAGTCCCACCCTTGCTGTCATGGGTTTGGATCCCACCGAGACCGCCGAGTCTTTCGCAATTGGGTTAAGTGCACCCAGTTATATCTCCAATAGACGTATTCGGCTTGCAGGTGTCATTGCCATCTACAGATGGGCACGACTTTATCTGTCAAGAGGTCACTCTTTGTCGGTTTATATACCGGGCAAATTAAGCCATGCTGTTGATGTAAATTAATAGAAAACCGGATTATCGGGTTTTCCCTAAAATGACGTCTAAGTGGGCGCTGGAAGCAGAACTTCCTATGTCGTCTTGTTTACGTTGGGAGCGGAAAGAATGCCGCGAGCGACCACCCCACTTCCGCGTTTTCATCCGCGACTTGGTGTCCAGTGGACCTAGGGCAGTGGCCATTATCGCAGCCGCCTACTTAACTAAGTGACCCAATAGCCTGGACTGTTTATATTTGCGTGACGTTCACTGACCTACCCAGAACCCTCCTTCTATGGGCATTAACTGGCCCAGTCATCCTTTTTCCTACTTAATGTGAATTAGTCCCAATCTAGAGTTCTTGTTTCTGTGTCTGTTTCCATGTCTCATTGTCAAAGCCAGCCGCCAGAATGGTGATAAAAAGTTCCTAACCAAATAAAAAATAAATCGGAGATTTGGTTTAACCTATTCTTTGTGATCTGCCAGTTCTCTCTGATCAAATCAGACTGGCTCACGCTTAGCACTCGAGCAAAATTGCCTTTGTCAATCTGACACTTCTGTTCTACCGATTTGAAGCAGGCCACACATTTACTTCTTGGATTACGACTGGCCGCATGACTTCCACGCTTGGGAAATGCGCGCGTGAACTGTAGCAAAGAATAATTTAATCTAACCATTTCGGCATATCAATTCATCAGAAGGGTGCGATTTTCCATTGAAGGATTTAGGATGCCCTGTCAACAAGAGTAACCAATGCATCACTCTAATGCATACCTTTGATATTAAGAGATAATCTGAGGGTCGATAGATCAGTCCAGGACTAACTAAGTCTGGCAGTTGACACGGGAGTACGCGTCAGTAGTTGCCCCAAAATTGGCCACGCGGTAGACGCACTGGACCGCCACGAGGATCACATTCGATTCTGGCATGTGTTATCGGGAATGCACACCCATAACAAATGCCTACATCTGGAGTGCGGTGGCAGGCTCATGTCGCACACATTTGGATCCCAGCTAAGTGTTTCTTGTGGACCAGGGGGATGGTGATACGCCTAGGAGCGGGTCCGGCCGTGCCAGTCACCTGCGCCCTCTTCGGCCTCCGGTCTTCCTGACTATGTCTTGGCAGCGGCTCTAGGTGGGCAGCCGGGAAGAGAGGGTGCGGTAGATGCTTCAAAAGTCCACTACCATTATAAACTAGTTCACGCGCGAGTCACCGTACCTCCTCTCACCCTGCTGTGGAGCACATAGTGAACATCGTTGGTCACAACGGTAGGAAGTGTCAATAAACCAATACGGAACGCGTTGTACCTGGAGTTTTTTTGGGCGTGACATTTTTCAAGATTGTCTGACTGTGTAAGGAGGACTTGAACGTTCCATTTTGCTATAGAGGTCCTGTCTAGAGCTCCGGCTAGGTGGGCATTCCGGTGTATACGGTCTTTGCTGACATTGCTGCTCCAGTTTCAGTGTTGATAGTTAACATCTGGCATAAAGTTTCAGAGAGCACTTTTATCGTAAATACGACAGAAAGGTAGTCTACATTTTTTCCGTCTTCCGCAGAAAAAGTGGCAATGCCGTTGTTTTTTGGTAGGAGCTCAAAAGTTAGCGGACATTTAACGATGCATGACTAAGTCCGAGGTCTCACTTTACCAAAAAACGCGGGAACAATGGCTCCGACTTCTCGATTTGATGTGCTGTTCAACAGTGAGGAATACGAATTCAATTTTGAGCAGGAGGCTAATGATGACAAATGGACCGTAATCTCCAACTAATATGTATTCATAAGTACGCTGGAGTTTTGCTCGA